GCAAGAGTAGCATATGCTTTTAATCACTGAGTCATCTCTCCAGCCTCGTGTTATTTGTCTAGTGAGAGCCATTCTGATAAGAGTAAGATGGAAACTCACTGTTTGGATTTTCAGTTCCCTGGTGGCTAAATAAAGACATTGAAATTTTTCCATGTGTTTTTTGGCCATTTATACTTCTCCTTTTTAGAACTGCCTTTTCAATTCATTTGCTGGGAACTTCTGTTTTTCTTTTTAACTATTGGAAAATCGCTTTTCCGGGTCACGCAGTTGACATAGATCAATGGAACCCACAGGAATGGTGACTAACTTTGAGAAGTGGCAGGGGCTCAGTCCATTCCTAGTAAGTTGAGCTCTGCCTTCCACTATATCATGTCTTCTTTTTGTCTTTACTTTTATATTCTTTATTTGTTGTATATGTGTGTGTACACATGTGTGAGCATATGTGTGCACAAGTGCACATTCATGTCTCCACCCTAGTATGTGTGAGTGTGTGTAAGTGTGTGTGTGAGTGTATGTGTGTGTGAGAGAGAGTGTGAGTGAGTGTATGTGTGTGAGTGAGAGTGTGAGTGAGTGTGGGTGTGTGAATATGTGAGTGTATGTGAGGGTATGTGTGAGTGAGTGTAAGTGTGAGTGAGTGTGTGTGAGTGTGTGAGTGTATGTGAGAGTGTGAGTGTGTGAGTGTATGTGAGAGTGTAGGTGAGTGTGAGTGTGTGTGTGAGAGTGAGTGTGTGAGAGGGTGAGGGTATGTGTGTGAGTGTGAGTGAGTGAGTATATGTGAGAGGGTGAGTGTGAAAGAGTGTGTGAGTGTGAGTGAGTGTGTGTGAGTGAATGTGTGTGTGTGAGAGTGTGAGTGTGTGTGAGTGTGTGTGTGTGTGTGTGAGTGTGAGTGTGTGTGAGTGTCCCTTCAGATAGGATCTCCCACTGAACCAAAGCTCGCCCTTCCACCTGGCATGGCTATCTGGTCAGTTGGCTCCATGGCCAGCCTGCCTTGGCTCCAGCAGAGGCTCCAGGTGCTCCCACCAAGCTTGGCTTTTACGTGGATGCTGGAATTTTTATGTGGAATTTAGTCTCAGGTCCTGTCTTGTTAGGGTCTCTATGTTGTGAAAGACGCCATGACCATGACCACAGCAACTCTTATAAAGGAAAACATTTAATTGGAACTGGTTCACAGTTCAGAGGTTTAATCCATTATCATCAGGGCAGGAAACATGGCAGCACACAGGCAGACATGGTGCTGCAGAGTGGCTGAGAGCTCTACATCTGGATCCTCAGTCTGGCTTGAGCTTCTGAAACCTAAAAGCCCACCCCTAGTGACACACTTCCTCCAACAAGGCCACACCAATTCCAACAAGGCCACACCTCCTGATAGTGCCACTCCCTATGAGTCTATGGGGACCATTTTCATTCAAACTACCACAGGTCCTCATGTTTGAATAGCAAGCACTCTTACCACTGGGCCATCTCTCTACTCCAACACCTTTTTTTTTTTTTTTTTTTTTTTAAACTCAGGGTCTCTTCTGAATCTGGAAATTGACAGCAGGTTAGGCTGCGTGGCTAGTGAATCCTAGGATCCACTTTTTCTACCTCCCCAGTGCTCAGATTGCAGGCTTGTGCAGGGGTTTTTATGTGAGTTCTTGGATTGGACACAAGTGCTTCACCAGCTGAGCCATGCACCCAACCCTGTCTATAATTTTTGAGTTCCTACCGTATTCTCCTGCTGTTGCTCCCTGGGCCACTGTACCCCACCCCACCTGTGATATCACATCTGACTTCATGAGGTCTGTACTTTTGGGGAAACAGCAAAGTTAAAGGGTCTTTGATGGGGAAGTTCTTCTTTATATATGTTTGTCTTATTGGTTGATAAATAAAGTACTGTTGGCCAATAGGGAAGCAAGTTAAGCAGGACTAGGAGTTGAGGAGGATTTTGGGAAATGTAGGATGATGATTCTGGGAAATGTAGTAAAGAGAAGTCTTGTGATCCAGGCAGGAAGTGACATAGCAGGCAGACTCAGAATATAAGCAGGAAATCACTCTCTTCCTCCTCCTCTCTTCTCTGTGGAGCTGCCATGTGATCCCAGGAAGAAGATGCAAGCCGCCAGCGTTCTCCATAGGATAAGTCTTTATAAATATATAGATTTATGGCTATGGTTGATACTTAAGACAGAGCAAGCATATAAGAAATCCTAATTATTGGCCAGCAGCATTGTAATTAATATAAGTCTCTGTGTGTTACTTGGCGCCCTAACGTGGTGGTGGGCGGAACTCAGGCAGCTAGCAGAAAGATTTATCCTTACAGGGCTTGTCCCCATTTTGCAAATGAGTAAAACTGATACTCAAAGAGGTTAAACATTACTCAGCCCAGAGCATACACTTATCCTGGGGATATGGAAGCAGGGGAATTCCAAGTTCAAGGTCACTGTGGGAAACTTAGTGAGATCAAAGTTTACAAAGACACAGTAAGAAGGGCTTGGCAATGT